TCGGTATTTTGGGGTTCTTGAGCTCGTTTTTCAACCGAATACGCTGAAAATTGGTACATTGGGTTCGCAATGGGTACTGAATGTCTCCACAAAAAATTATAAATATAGGTCCACTTTTTCTGGTAGCCCCCATATAACGGTACCTCCTAATTTTCAGTATTTTGGGGGTTTTGATCGTATTTTTCCACCGAATTGGCTGTAATTTAGTATTTTGAGTTCTTAATAGGTACCAAATCTCTCTACAAAAAATTATGTATATAGGTACATTTTTTCGGATAGCCCCCATATAAGGGTACCCCCAATTTTCGGTATTTTGGGGTTCTTGAGCGCGTTTTCAACCGAATACGCTGAAATTTAATACATTGGGTTCTTAATAGGTACAAAATCTCTCCACAAAAAATTATAAATATAGGTCAATTTTTTCGGATATCCCCCATATACGGATACCCCCCAATTTTTGGTATTTTGGGGTTCTTGAGCGCGTTTTTCTACCGAATACGCTGAAATTTGGTACATTGAGTTCTTAATAGTTTCCAAATCTCTCCACAAAATATTATGAATATAGGTCTATTTTTTCGGATAGCCCCCATATAAGGGTACCCCCAATTTTCGGTATTTTGGGGTTCTTGAGCGCGTTTTTCAACCGAATACGCTGAAATTTAATACATTGGGTTCTTAATAGGTACAAAATCTCTCCACAAAAAATTATAAATATAGGTCAATTTTTTCGGATATCCCCCATATACGGATACCCCCCAATTTTTGGTATTTTGGGGTTCTTGAGCGCGTTTTTCTACCGAATACGCTGAAATTTGGTACATTGAGTTCTTAATAGTTTCCAAATCTCTCCACAAAATATTATGAATATAGGTCCATTTTTTCGGATAGCCCCCATATAAGGGTACCCCCAATTTTCGGTATTTTGGGGGTCTTGAGCGCCGTTTTCAACCGAATTTGCTGCAATTTGGTATTTTGTAGTGGTATATGGTAACAAATCTCCCTACCAAAAATTATTAATATTCGCGCCCTTTTTGGGGTAGTCCCCATATACCCCCTTTTTTATATTAAAATATTTATCTGATTTGTTGCGCGTTTTGGGTTTGGTTCTAAGACCCTTTTGTAATCATTTCAACTGCGGAGGATAGAGAGATAAAAAATTAGAACGTTAGGTTCGGTAGTGAACTATAGCCGCATTTAGACCTAGCCCCTGATTGGAGGTTCCAGAAGGAGTGGACCGATATTCCCCATCTTCGAATTTGAACTAAGTTTGGAAGAAATAATAAGATGGGCAAAGTTCGGATGAAATCTAAATTTTCTGAAACGGATTTGGTCCAAAGAAACATTGGGTCTAGAACCAATATTTCGATGAGGCACATTTTCACCGTGTGAAAGTGTATACACACTAATTAGCCATAAGGCTGAGGGTATAATTATCCTTTAAAATTTTCTAAAATTTGTATTATGGTTTACATAATCCGTTTTTAGAAATGTCGGTATAGGTGCACTTTTTGGTATGTTCCCTATATTTTCATTTATAGTACCTGTCAATATATCTATGGTGGAGGGTATCCAAAGTTCGGCCCGGCCGAACTTACCGCTTTTTCACTTGTTTTTGTTAAAGATCGGTTAATATTTAGGTGATGAAATGGACCAAATACTTAATTTTTGTCAGTTTTTCTGGTCGCTCCAGAGGGCGCAATTATGGTCCGAACATCGCGAAATTTTACATGGAGAAGGGGATCGGGCCAAAGAATAAGCATGTCTGCTTTGATAAAGATCGGCCATTATTTAGCGGGTCAAATGGCCTTCGTCGTTTGTGTGAAAAATTATAAAATTTTAATTCTATGGCTATCAACTTATCGGGTCTATATCTTTCAGGAGTAAATATATTCCTGAAAGATATACACCCGATAGTATATCCAAGAGGAGTGATTGACCTTTAACTTGATATTAAATATATTGATGTATCTATTCGGATATGGGAGTAACACTTAAATATCAAGTATGCAGATTTAGAGTTAAGAAAATATTAGAAATAAAATGAGTTCATCTCGAGCCATGGAACCGTCAACACCGTGCGTTTCTTTTTTCTCTAGTTTCTCCCGACACATTTGTGATGAGATCAGGAGTCATCTCATCACTAGGGTTAGAAAGTGGACATTTTGACCTCTAATCGGTCAAGAGAATGCAAACATCGCCCAGGCTCAGTATATAGAACCGCGGAAAGTTAGATTTTCTTGGTTTTTTTTTTTTGGGTATCAGAATCGACCATTCAATATACCAAAAATCGAAGGTTGGGGGGCTTCAAAACAAATTACATCTACTTTGATTAGAAAATGAGTTGTGATCCTTTTGATAAACTATAGTTCCCACTTATTTCTTCGGATAGATTGAAATACAATATTTCCGTCACTACGGTTGGAAAATGATGTTAGGGCCTTAAAATAACTAAAATGGATCGATGTGCTAGAAAGAGGGGCAATATTACCACTACATTGCCCTACATTCAAACTTTACTATCAGTAATATTGGTTGGAAAATGTGTCTAGGATCTTTAAACCATCTAAAATTGGGCGGAGCTATTAAATGGGTGCTATGTGAAAACATGGATCTATATTGAGAATTTTCTTCAAGGTATTTGCAAACGAATAATGAGACCCTAAAATACTTATTTCAGGACTAATTTTTTTATACAGAAAAAATTCGGATGTCCAACAGGACTACCATTAATTCCATAGGAAAAATTCTGTGGTTACACAGAACTATAATTTTTTGTACAGAAAAAAATTTTGTTCCCACAGGACTGCAATTTTTCCTGTAGAAAAATTCTGTGATCCCACAAGACTACCATTTTTTCTATAGAAAAAAATCTGTGGTCCAATTGAACTACATTTTTTCTAAAGAAACAAATTCTGGGGTCTCACAGGGCTGCCTTTTTTAAAGAAAAAATTCTGTGGGCCCACAGGACTATAATTTTTTCTACAAAAAAAAAAAAAAAAAAAAACTGTGGACTGGACTTACGGACAACATTTTTTCCCTAAAAAATTCTGCGGTCTCACAGGATTCTAATTATAATAATTTTTTTTCTATAGAAAAAATTATGTCCTGTGGGAAAAATTCTGTGATCCCACAAGACTACCATTTTTTCTATAGAAAAAATCTGTGGTCCAATTGAACTAAATTTTTTCTAAAGAAACAAATTCTGGGGCCTCAAAAAAATCTGTGGGCACACAGGACGATAATTTTTCTACAAAAAAAAAAAAAAAAAAAAAAAAAACTGGGGACTGGACTTACGGAGAACATTTTTTCCCTAAAAAATTCTGCTGTCTCACAGGATTCTAATTTTTCTATAGAGAAAATTCTGTAATTCCCCAGGACTATAATTCTTTTTTTTATAGAAAAAATTATGTCAAGTGGGACTGTCATTTTTTCTATAGAAAGAACTAATATGTGTGGTCATAGGACCACATTTTTTTTTCGAAAAAAGTTGTGGTCCCATAAGACGACCCTTTTTATGTGAAAAATTATGTGGTCCCACAGGACTAAATTATTCTATAATAAAAATCTTTAGTTTTGAGGACTACGTTTTTTTCTATAGAACAAATTCTGTAGGCCACAGGATTAAATTTTTTTACAAAAAAAATTTTTAAGATGAACCAGTATATACACTTATCTGTAAAGGACATCCAAGGGCTTGAGGCTCCTTAAAGCTAAAACATCTCAACTGCAAACGAATTTCAAATCAATGTACGAAAAAATGAAATAAAAATGAGTTAAGAAGAAAATATCTATGACTAGAAGCCTAAGTTTTGTCCATTAGTGTAGCTCTTGTTTTGGGGTTTTTTCCTGTGGAGAAGAGTTTTTTTTATTTATTTTTGAAACAGTTATTGTCAAAAAACGTGAGTGAGTAAAAATATATATAGATATTGATGTATGCAGGTGTAGATCAATGCCAAGTGTAGGTATTAATTTATTTTCTTCAGAATTTTTTTTATTATTTTTTTTTTTAATTATTTTTTGGGGAAATTCAACTTTTATTAGGATTTCAATTTATAATATTAACTTTTTTTTAAGAATTTTTATTTTTTTTTTGAAATTTATTTTTTGGGGATTTTTTGCCGATTTTTTCCGTTTTTAATATTTTCTGATTTTATTTTCTAAAATGCAATTTTATTTTCTTTTTTTGTCTGAGGTTTAATTGAAGGATATTTTTTGTTTGTTTGTATTTGTTTGGTTGTGTACGTGAGTCATCCATTATATGAAGAGTGAGTTAGTGAGTGAGGACAGGTCATAGTTTTAGTTTTTTTATTTTTTAGGTTAGTTGATATTGAGATTTGTATTATTTGGGCTTTTTTTGGTTAGGGAAAGGTACTAACTTTATTATGATAAAAATTCAATTTCACACACACACACATACATGATATTGCACACACATTTCAAAAAAACACTCACACATGTAAGAATTTTGAAAAAAAATAACTGGGTATTTACAAACCAAATATATTTTTTGAATTTGAATTTTCTTTTCAAGAATTGTTTTTTTTTTCTCCTTAAATTTTAATACAACTATCAATGGTGATTGCTCAATACAAGTTCAGTGATTAAATATAGTCCTTAAGGATATATATATTTTTTGTAGGCTGTGCTATAATCTACCATATCCCAGGACTATATTTTAAATATACAATTTCGTTTATTTTTTAAATCTAATAATGCCTTAAAACTAACTTTGCTTAAAATCCTATTTTTTTTTTAATCGAACAAATTTTTTTTCCTTAATTTTAAAACTTACTTGTTTAACATAAAAAAATTGCAGTTTCAGTTTTCTTCTTCTTTCTCTTAAATGCTATATAAAAATGTGTGTGTTCGTTTTCAATTTTTAATTGATATAAATAAATAATTCCATGCCATTTTTTTTGGTTTTCATGATATTTCACTTTCTGATTTTTAGTAAATTCGTTTCGATCTCCACATCTCTCTCTCTCTCACGTATTCTTCTCTCAATAAGTCATCAGGGTCGGCTTGAAGCCCAGATTTTTCCGTTGCAAAAATAAGTGGATTTCCCGAAAATTGGGACGATTCGATTCGTTGCGCTGCCAGCACTCACACATCAAATCATAGATTTCACGTGGACAATTCACGGGCATTGTTAGGAATTCCTGGGGAGGATAGAAAAAAAAAACAAAAAAAAAAAAATTTTTAAAATAAAAATTAAAAAAAAAAAATGTTTAAAAAAATTCACTCACATATTTATTATCATCCTGATAGATATGTCCAATATTTTCAATTACTTTGGCATCACTCAAATGTTGATAGGGTTGCTGGCGGGCAAATGTCAGAATTTCCCACAGCGTTACAGCAAATGACCAGACATCGGATTTGGAGGTGAATTTGCCCTGGAACAAAAAACGAAATAAAATTGGGATAACTAGAGCCCCAAAAAATAATAAAAAAAATCCTCGCCATAATATTAATTAATCCACGCCTCTTCTAGAACCTCAAAAATAAATTCACTCTCAAAAATATTTTTTAATAAATCCACGCCTCTTCTAGAATCTCAAAAATATTTTTTAATAAACCCACGCCTCTTCTAGAACCTCACAAATAAATCCACACCTCTTCTAGAACCTCGAAAATAAATCCACGCCTCTTCTAGAACCTCAAAAATAAATCCACGCCTCTTCTAGAACCTCAAAAATAAATCCACGCCTTTTCTAGAACCTCAAAAACCTCAAAAATATTTTTTTAATAAATCCACGCCTTGTCAAAAATATTTTTTAATAAATCCACGCCTTGTCAAAAATATTTTTTAATAAATCCACGCCTTGTCAAAAATATTTTTTAATAAATCCACGCCTTGTCAAAAATATTTTTTAATAAATCCACGCCTTGTCAAAAATATTTTTTAATAAATCCACGCCTTGTCAAAAATATTTTTTAATAAATCCACGCCTTGTCAAAAATATTTTTTAATAAATCCACGCCTCTTCTAGAACCTTAAAAATAAATCCACGCCTCTTCTAGAACCTCAAAAATAAATCCACGCCTCTTCTAGAACCTCAAAAATAAATCCACGCCTCTTCTAGAACCTCAAAAATAAATCCACGCCTCTTCTAGAACCTCAAAAATAAATCCACGCCTCTTCTAGAACCTTAAAAATAAATCCACGCCTCTTCTACATTAAAACGGACGAGGCTATATATGGGAGCTATATCTAAATCTGAACCGATTTTTACGAAACTTAACACACATCATTCTAGATCTAATTCAGTACGCTATACCAAATTTTGGGCAAATCGAAGGATATATAGGGACTTTGGTGCACCATTTAACTAAAATCGGACGAACATATATATGGGATCTATATCTAAATCTGAACAGATTTTCACGAAACTTGGCAAACGTCACTCAGTACGTTATGCCAAATTTCGTGAGATATATAGGGACTTTGGTGCACCATTTACAATAAATCGGACGAAAATATATATGGGAGCTATGTCTAAATCTGAATCGATTTAAATAGAGTTCGTCCTTGGGCCAAATAAATGAGCTGTACCAAATTTTATTCAATTCGGATTATAAATGCGACCTGTACTTTGTTTACAATTTAACACCAACAGACGGAGGGACGGACATGCGTAAATCGACTCAGAAAGTGAGTCTATGCATATTCTCAAAAGGAACTATGGGTCTACCTCGTTTCTTTTGCCTGTTACAAACATATAGCTCTATATATAGTTTCGTTCGATTTGATGTAATATAGTTTCGTCCGATGCATATATAGTTTCGTCCGATTTGATGTAAATGGAAAGAGTAAAAAAAAAGTTCTTTAATAAATCCACGCCTTGGGTAGGCCTTGAAAAAATATTCTTTAATAAATCCACGCCTTGGGTAGGCCTTGAAAAAATATTCTTTAATAAATCCACGCCTTGGGTAGGCCTTGAAAAAATATTCTTTAATAAATCCACGCCTTGGGTAGGCCTTGAAAAAATATTCTTTAATAAATCCACGCCTTGTATGGACAGACCCTTGAAAAAATATTCTTTAATAAATCCACGCCTTGGGTAGGCCTTGAAAAAATATTCTTTAATAAATCCACGCCTTGGGTAGGCCTTGAAAAAATATTCTTTAATAAATCCACGCCTTGGGTAGGCCTTGAAAAAATATTCTTTAATAAATCCACGCCTTGGGTAGGCCTTGAAAAAATATTCTTTAATAAATCCACGCCTTGGGTAGGCCTTGAAAAAATATTCTTTAATAAATCCACGCCTTGGGTAGGCCTTGAAAAAATATTCTTTAATAAATCCACGCCTTGGGTAGGCCTTGAAAAAATATTCTTTAATAAATCCACGCCTTGGGTAGGCCTTGAAAAAATATTCTTTAATAAATCCACGCCTTGGGTAGGCCTTGAAAAAATATTCTTTAATAAATCCACGCCTTGGGTAGGCCTTGAAAAAATATTCTTTAATAAATCCACGCCTTGGGTAGGCCTTGAAAAAATATTCTTTAATAAATCCACGCCTTGGGTAGGCCTTGAAAAAATATTCTTTAATAAATCCACGCCTTGGGTAGGCCTTGAAAAAATATTCTTTAATAAATCCACGCCTTGGGTAGGCCTTGAAAAAATATTCTTTAATAAATCCACGCCTTGGGTAGGCCTTGAAAAAATATTCTTTAATAAATCCACGCCTTGGGTAGGCCTTGAAAAAATATTCTTTAATAAATCCACGCCTTGGGTAGGCCTTGAAAAAATATTCTTTAATAAATCCACGCCTTGGGTAGGCCTTGAAAAAATATTCTTTAATAAATCCACGCCTTGGGTAGGCCTTGAAAAAATATTCTTTAATAAATCCACGCCTTGGGTAGGCCTTGAAAAAATATTCTTTAATAAATCCACGCCTTGGGTAGGCCTTGAAAAAATATTCTTTAATAAATCCACGCCTTGGGTAGGCCTTGAAAAAATATTCTTTAATAAATCCACGCCTTGGGTAGGCCTTGAAAAAATATTCTTTAATAAATCCACGCCTTGGGTAGGCCTTGAAAAAATATTCTTTAATAAATCCACGCCTTGGGTAGGCCTTGAAAAAATATTCTTTAATAAATCCACGCCTTGGGTAGGCCTTGAAAAAATATTCTTTAATAAATCCACGCCTTGGGTAGGCCTTGAAAAAATATTCTTTAATAAATCCACGCCTTGGGTAGGCCTTGAAAAAATATTCTTTAATAAATCCACGCCTTGGGTAGGCCTTGAAAAAATATTCTTTAATAAATCCACGCCTTGGGTAGGCCTTGAAAAAATATTCTTTAATAAATCCACGCCTTGGGTAGGCCTTGAAAAAATATTCTTTAATAAATCCACGCCTTGGGTAGGCCTTGAAAAAATATTCTTTAATAAATCCACGCCTTGGGTAGGCCTTGAAAAAATATTCTTTAATAAATCCACGCCTCCTTGGGAGCCTTGAAAAAATGTTCTTCAATAAATCCACGCCTTGTATAGAGCCCTGAAAACTGTTCTTTAATAAATCCACGCCTTGTATAGAGCCTTGAAAAAATATTTTTTTTTTTAAATCCCAGAGGCGTGTGAGAGGGAGAGAGCTCATCTGTTCTGTAGACATCTCATCAGTCATCATTCTAATAACGCCACTAGACAAAAAAAATGAAAAACTGTCTTTGAAGGCCACTGAGGATGTGGTAACAAGAGGAATTTACACCAACCAACAACAACGACAACAGCACTTTAGTCCTTAACAAATATGATTAAGTGCAAGGGGAGTGAAAAAAAACTGTACATGCCACACAGTAATGATGCTGCATGCCCTGGAAGCAGCTATGCTCCAACTAAACTCTGTGGTAAATGACATTGAGATGAAGAAAACCTTGCAGACAGGCTACCAGCCTGTCAGCCACTGAACCCATCCAGACAGGCCACTACTTTTCTATCTTCAGTGTCATCATGAAATGAAATATTTTTTCCCCAAAAACTGGAAACCGAACCACAAATATTTACATTGTGTTATGATTCTAACCAAAACAACAACTGACGTGAGTTAGTGAGACAAACAAAGGACTCATGGCACAAAACAAATACAAATATGTGTGAGTATGTGTGTGTGTGATAAGTATGTATGTCCCGCTTTGGGTATGCTGGAAACTTTATACATCTGTTAGCAAAAAATTCTCTATTTACTCTGGGCCCCCACCTCCCCAACTTACCTACAACTAAATATATTAAGTGCCATTGTTTAGCATCTGTAGAA